GGCAGTGTAGATAATGGCAGTGATAATGACGATGATGATAACATTGATGATGAGTCACGGCGATGACTATGACTGACGGTGACAGTGATGATGACGACAATGATGATGACGGTGACGACGAGTGATGTTATCAACGATGATGACGGTGACCTTTTTTAACGCCGCCCAGACCGGGTCCGCGTGGATGAGTTCGAGAGCGAGTGAAGGCCCTCGGAGCACCCGGCCAACCTGGCGCCACTGGCAGATAACAACAACGGCAGTGGCGGTGGCAGCGGCAGTGGCTGCAGCTGCCGCAGCCACTGCTGCAGCAACGGTTTCTACTCGCCAGGGCGTGTGTCTGCGGCGGCGCTACTGTAAATGTTTATTGAGACGTGTGCACGCTGTCGCTGACCGTGTTTGCGTTGCACGCAACGGATAGGGCTCGTGTTCATCGCCGCACAAAGCCACGTGCCGGTGGGGCAGTGGTGCCTCCCTTCTCAGGTTCCCGTCGCTGCTGTTTCCTTTCGCCAGGGGTGGGCGTCACGACGACTCGCGATTTGTCCGTTAGTTTCGGTTCCCTATTTTTCCACGGGTTTTCCCCTCCCCCCTGCCGCGGCACGAGCATTAAGAATTAATTGGGAACTTTCACACGCTGAGAGTGACCCCCCCCCCCCCCCACCGTCCTTTTTATTTTAGAGAACGGCCCACGGAAGAGGATAACGCAGAGCTACTTCCCGAGTTCCCTTCCTTCAAAGTGACCTCAGGTCCACGCAGTATGAGGGCAGTGCGGTGGGGGGAGGTGGCATTCTAACAAAGAATTTTAATTATCAGAACTGAAAATTTTATTTGGCAAAATGTAAGTGCAGAATAAAATGAGATTTTTGATTCGTTCTATTTTTTTTCCGTGTGCGGTCATTCGTGACCGTTGGCTCTTGAGAAACCTGGTGTCATCACGGGCAGCAGCTGGAACCTGGATTGAAACCTGGCATCGCAGCGGCGCCGGCTCCGCACTCGGAACTCCGAGCCACCTGGCACCGCCTCACTAGCAGGGCAGCTCGCGATGCTTGTGGCGAGCCGTCTACGTAATAATTAACGTTTATAAGCAAATAACGCACAACCACGAGGTGTACGCTCTGCTCATGCTGAGGGTGCAGTGGTGACCTAGTGATGGGCGTGCCGCGCGGTGAGAACGGCGACCTGAGTTGGATACCGGGCCACGTCTAACGTGCGTGGCGAGCGATGTTTGCACTGGCCCCTAGAACTTAACCCCCCCATCGTATACCAGCCCCACGTTTGACCGGTGCGGTGAAGTATGGTCAAACAACCACCCATTACCAACATCGCATGCATAGGAAGGCCTTCCTCATAGAAAAATTACGCTGCAGGTTACTCTTTCGGGATTGTGCACAGAATTCCTCGCCCACTACCGCCAACACCTGGCCGGACATTCCCGAGAAGCGGTCGCATCAGTGAGGCTCTCCTGGGCGACTGTACGACGTGAAGAGAATACAAAAGCAAGGCGGTTGAAAATAGTCAGCGATTCTCAGAGCAGAAACACACGGGGGCTAAATCGAACCGCCGCGCGAGGTGTGGCGGACGCGAAAGGTTATTCCGCTCCTATTCACGATCGCAAATATTCGCCACCCTAACCTGGCGAGTTAAGCGGTCGCACGTCCTCGGAAAACACGGAGCATCGGCGTTGTGGGATTTGGGCGCGTCGACCCGAGTTTGGGTGACGTCACTGCTGCTGCGTCGTGAGCAGCGTGCGCTCGGGTACCCCCCTTTGGTGTCGTTGTTGTCGTCGTTGCTAAGCGTGTCTCTGTGTAGCTGCTGTCATGAGCTGAACTGATAACCGGAGCCGGGCCCAGCTATCGGATACTCTCTGCGTGCCAGCTGCCCTGTCGTCCCGCCCTGGCGCGTCGTTTCCGCCTTCTCGCCAGGTGTCGCCGTTGAAATGCGAACGAAGCCGCTGTGCACCGCACGAGCCTGATGATTGCTAAACGCACCTCCGATTTAGCATTGGTTGGCTACGAATGGTATGGTGCGATTTTAAAAGTTCGACATACATACAAACACGTACCGTGTGGTGTAGGGTGTAGCAATTTGTTTGCAATGAGTCTGTTATTTAACACACAGGCACTCGTAATCATAACCGCCCGCTGATGCTGGTTGCGACGACCAGCGAAACATCGTACCCAGTTGTTAAACGTGGTGCGGATTGCTCTCCAGCAACAACACACCCAGTGGTGCTTCTGAAGCAGTAATAAATTGACACGATCATCACGTGACAACTTTATGAATTGCCTGTGCTAGTCATAAAGTACGACACACTTTTTGCTTGCATGATCTTACCCACAAACCAATAATTACGAGTCGTAATGGTGTTTTATTTTCGCACACTGCAGTTCACGCTAATTACATCGCACAGCGCTTTGGATTTTTGCAGAGTTTTTGCATGGAGGCGAGGGAAACCTCGGAGGGAAGTTGGCCGTAGCCAGTGGCAACAATTGCCCAAGCTCTGTTGTCCTATAATAAGATATTTGGCCAACTCCAAATTTAAGATGGATAGATTTGTGAGTGTGTGTATGTGTGTGATGTATGAGTGGGTGGATTGGTGGTCTAGTGATTAGCACTGCACTACAAACTCCCATGGCTAACATCAGTGGCAAATTTATCTGAACCGGTTCTGGGCTTCTTAAAATTAGTATATGGAATGCATTTAGTCGTCGTCACGGCGCATGCGGCGCGCAATGGCGTGATATGTAATTCAACGGAGAAGATTGAACTCGGAACAAACTCGGTGACAATGTAATGTTGGGTCATGTTGGCATGGTCTTGGAACTGTTAGGCCAACGTTGGCGTGTCCTTCTGACCTTTGGGCCAACGTTGGCATGGTCTAGTGACCTTTGGGCCAACGGTGGCATGACCTTGTGACCTTTGGACCAACGTTTCGTGTTTACTGGGACCACACTGCGTTGGGTCACGAGGAACGGCATTTGTGCTGCTGTTCGCTGCAGACTGCCATGCCTGTGTGCTTCCTAGCGAGGGCGAGACATTCCATACGTTTATTCCTGGTCAGGAAGGACAGGACCTGCGTTATTACATTTCCAGTTTTTTCTGCGGAATTTTAGCACTGAGGTGCAGCCGCGAGGCAGCGAGCGGGACGAGCCGCGGGGAGGGCCAACCCAGAAACCGTGCCGACGTCGGGCCAACGTTGACACGTGGGCGGAACCATTGGTCCAATGTTGGCCTCACAATTGGCCCTAGGTTGGCCCAATTTCCCATATTTACTGGGAAGCCGTCGGTGAGGAGCGGTAATTACTCTCCACCCCGTGCCCTCATTCTACCGCCGCGGCCACTACGGCGTCGCGTGGAAACAAACAGCGAAAATCCCTTGGAGAGTAACGTACCGATACTTGGTGTGGGTTTCTCTCTCTAGCGGCGTGTAAATACGGCCGCAGCAACTGTTGGGGGCATTCGGTGTGGAGAGAGGCGGTTGGTCGGTCCTCGGCAGTGGAGAGAAGAGGAAGGTCTTCAAGCCTGGACATGAACATGGGCAGGGAGTAGACAGCATGGTTGGCAGGGGGGGTGAAGGGAGTTCTAGACTACGGGGGCATCGGCGCCGTTGCTACGTGTCGTAGAATGCAAACTGCAAGATTCTCTAAATCAGTGGGTCTTAACCTGGGGGTGCGAGATGCCCTTTCTGAGAACCCAAGGGAAGGTGGGAGGGGGGTGCAAGCTGCAGTAAAGGCTAAGAAACCACTGCTCTAAATGGAGCTTCATCCGAAGGCACTATACAAAATGTGGCACGTTATCGTCGCAAGGGGAAGCCGGCAGCAACAGGGCGGTGTGCGTTTTCAACGAAGGCAGCTCCGCAAAATATCTGCGACCTCACGGTGAAGAGGTTGTTTTGTTAAAGTTTTCCAGATGATAGATACGGGATGTCATTTTTTTTAAGGTGTTGGTAGATTTATAAAAAAAAAACCTGAGGTTCGACGCACACAGCCAACATTGCTTTCTCCATCATCACCACCCCGGCGTGGATGATGAAGTCCGTTAGTCCGAGCTACGTCCGATGGCACTGCGGTATTTTACGAACGTTCCCGTTCCAAGACAGAGGGGGACAGATTATTTATATCTGGATCGCAGTCCTAAATTAGTCAACGCGCTAAGTCCAAGCCAAAAAAGCCATGTCGTGATTGCACTGACGATTTACCCTCCGAATTTAAACGGTCTTGGATGCGATTTCAAAATAGCGGAACTGCACTAATGTAACAACACATCCGAAAAAAAATCGATAACGTGATCATAAAGTAGCGTGCTGTGACGCGCAAGTGCTTTTTTTGTTTGTGTCCACGTCTTGTGGGGGAACGAAATGGGAAATGGTCGTTGAGACATTTGTCGGCAAATGAACGTTTCGCGAGGAATGAAATCGGCGAAACGTTGCTTTGCTCGCACGACCACAAACTTCCGGCAAACCTGCGTCTCCGGAACCGCATGCTGGCTCTTTTAAGGAACTGCTCCGTGGCGTTATAAAATGCCGCCTCTTGTCATATCGGTTGCCGACCCCCTGGCCCCTAAGGTCACCCGAATTGTCAGATTCTCAGAAGCTGAGTAAGTGTACAGGTGACCCACAGTGCTTGCGCCCAGCAATCTTGGGCGTGGGGGCGTCGAATGAAAGTTGCTGAGCGCCTCCTCGTTTGCGTTGGGAGACTGTCTGCGGGTTCTACGGTTCCCCCCCCCCCCCCCCCCACGTGAAGCCAAACTCTCACTGTCCCTCTCACTGTACCAGCACCCTCCTGGGAGAGGCTTGAGACTCGAGAGAGGCTTTTTTCCGATGTAAATTGTGCGGGCATTATTATTGTGTTTTTATATTTGCTAATTTTAGGAATGCGATTTAGTTCGGGGAATAATTTGCATGCATTATTATTGTTTTTACCACGAGAGAGAGGCAGTTTTGAGCTGTTATGCACCATCTCCCCACTCACGCGGAATCACCGTCTCGCCCCAACCCTGGCCAGGAGCAAGGGGACGGCATGGGAGACATGGACGGGCTGGTGAACGGAGAAGGCGCCTCCGCAGGGAGCGCCACCCTGCTGCAGACGGGCGACCAGGGCGGCGTCGTCAAGTTCGGCTGGATCAAGGGGGTGCTGGTGCGTCACCGGCGGCTTCCGCACGGCACGCTGACGATCCACCAAAACACACGCACGCCGCTGGCTCGCCGGGCTCTCGACAATGCCAGGGCAAACCTGAACCCACTCACTCAGATAAATCCAACCTACTGGCCGCCCGATGCGCCAGCTCGCTCGTTCACTCGCTCGCTCGCCTACCTGCTCGCCCCTCGCACTTCACTGCCTATTCGGTAAACTTCCCTCCTCAACTATCCATGTACTCACCCACGGACCCACCTAGTTACTCACCTACTCTCCGAGCCTCACCCACCCATCCATCACTTAATCACCCGCCCACCTTCTTCCCCACTCTCGCGATCAACCACACCCCCAACCCACCCACTCATGCACCCAATCAACCACCCACCCACCCGTCAACTCGCCCATCCACCTACTCAAGCAATACACCCACCATCCGTACACTTGCTCATCCATCCACCCACCCAGTCAACCAATTACCCACTCATATACTGAACCATCCTTCCCCCCCCCCCGCCCACATCCGTCTTGAATATTTGGCAGCGATAAATTACCACGTGATAATAAGCCACTACGTTGAGCTATCATTTGTGGCCAGGTCGCTTCCAAAAAAAGAGCTGTGTAGCTCAGTGGGCCTTACCTGGTAAAATAAAAAACAGTTGATGCTTTAGTTTAGTTACATGATCATTCGGCGGCAGTGGCAGTGTCTTCTGGGCTCCTCGCCATGGCTTAGGAGAATTGGAAAACCCCGAGCAGATTGCCGGCACTCTCAAATTGGAAAGCGCTATCCATCATGGCCACGACGTGTTAACCCCCAACCCCACCAAAATCCCGCCCGCACGGCCACTCCACGTTAACTCTTGTGCGGCACAACCGCGCACGAAATCTCTCGCAGAGTGAACTCGTCACGTTAGCCGGGTGGCGAAGGCGACGCTCTGTAATTGCTCGTGCCACTGCTGGTGGAAGGACCCCCTCCCCATCAGGAGAAGTTCTAGAGGAGCCCCTTCTGGAGGATAATAATTTTGGCCGACTTCTGCACGCTGGGCAGACGTCTCAGAAGAGGTGTAAGTGCCCCACACACGACGGACCTCCATATCTGCTAACTGTGGCTCGAACCCATTCATACCATAATACAGGGTTTTTTGGGGCTGTATCGCATAAATATAAATGTGTCCGCGGGGTGGAGAGAGACGGCGGTGGGGGTGTTTTTAAGAAACTTTCTCCGTTGTTTCAACGGCCACTTTGTGTTGAGTTTGTCCTTTCCCCACGCCTCCAATTAGCACGTTTAGCTACATACGGTGCAAAAGAAGTTCAATATACATACGTATGCTCCGGAATTTGCGACCTCAGGATTGGCAAGTCCAGCGTGCTGCCAACCATCGTACCCAACCCTTAACCGCGTCCACACAAACCATGGTAGATGTCTCTTACTGGCTGTGACATGGACAATTAAAAACTTTCCAGTGTGTGACTGTGGTAGCCCAGAGCATACCATGGAATATTTAAAAACTCAATGCGCCTGATTCACATGTGCAAAGGAGGAAGCCTCATCACAGTGGAACGCCAATCCTGATGCAATTATTCGTCCCAGCCACCTCGTTGTAAAATTGAAGCAGCTGGTCTCCATCTACGCGAGTCGTACAAAGAAGAAGATCATTCCACCAATGGGGCAACATCCAACCACTAGCGTCCATTTATTAATGGATGGGAGGATTTCAGGAGGGGCACGACTCCATGAGCAGCGGTGGGACGCGAGCACATGTTTTGTAAAAACGTCAAATGTTGTTGCACCTGAGGTCCAACTCAACTCGGTTGGCACGATGACCCACCGTAGAGGAACACGGCATGTGGTGGTCTGTTTGGTTTTCGGAAGAAAAATAATAGCTCCGTGTGAACTTCTCCGGGGGTTTTGGCGAGCCAAGTGCACATTAGTGCTGCACTCGAGAGCGGATTAGGCGACTGCTCGCGAAGCGATTTTGGCAGTGGGCACACACTGGCGATGCGCGCACCACAACGACAACCGCTGTACACCGCTAAGTGGTGGTGATGTCACCACGGCGCTTGTGCCAGGCTGGGTGCACTTTGAGGCCGCGTGAAGTGCCGATGGCCTGCCAGCAGGAGGTCACGGGACAGACCAAGGTGCCGTGGGTTGACCGACTGAGATGACTGGCTGATGCACTAACTGTGCTCCCCACTGTGCCACCTCTGAATTTTAGCCACCTGGTGCTCCGCTCATTGTTGTGAGTGTCACTCTACCCTGTGTTGTTGCTGCAGAGCGAGACTGCCTCCAACTCTCCAGCAGTGTCGTTCACGGGCCACCTTCAAAACAGGCCGGTCTTGATCAGTCATGTTCAAGTCCAATCAATTCCATGTAATAAAACGCAAGAAGCGTCGTAGTAAAATCTTAGTTGATACCACATTCTGCCGTTGCTACAAAAAAATCGGGACACATCACGGGAAGAAGCAGAAGAGCTCGCGAGAACAGAAGAATGGAGCGCTTCCGTGTCAATGCATCGTCCTTGAGTGGTTTGCGCGATTTACTCAACCCGATCAAAAACCGGCGACTTTTGAACGTTGCGGGAAATCCGAAGAGTCTTCCCGCAATGCCGCGGCGGCTGCCTCGACGACAGGAGAGCCGGGGACGGGCGGCGGATCCCGCTCCCGCGTCGTGCGGAAGGCCGCCGTGCGTTTTTGAGCTGCGCTTTGGGCAGACGAACGGCGACTCCTCCAAGCGTCCGCCGTTGACGTCGTCGGTCTCCTCTGGCGTGCGGCGAGCAAGGGGGGGTGGAGGGTTGGTGACCTCTTCTTGGTTCTTTTGGTAAAGTCACGTAGAAGGGAAGCAATAAAATAATAAAAATAAAACATAATTATTATGTTTTATTTTTATTATTTTATTACATAATTAATATGTTTTATTTTTATTATTTTATTACTTCCCTTCTACGTGACTTTACCGAAAGAACCAAGAAGATGAATCCCTGCAGTCACGAAAGCTTTAAATCGGGTTGGTGACCGTTTGAGTGGCGGCTCGGTACCTCCGATTTCAGCATGGTCGGATTCGTACGGCGCAAAAGAAGTTCTACCAACTACATACAGCTGCCGAGTATGCAGGCGGCGCAACCGCACCGGAGCCCGGCGGGGTCGGAGGGGAGCGCAGGGGCAGCGAGGCAGCGGGGTGGTCTGGAGAGGGGGGGCAATCGCATGGAGGGCCCCCACCCCCTCCCCCCACCATTACATTTTCTTGAGCCTGGGGCCCATCGCCAGCCACGCTACCTACGCGGCTGCCTGGCAGGTGAACGGTTCGCCTCGGCAATCCGCAGCAGCTGCATTTATGCTCTGCAGGTGTTGCCAATTAACTGGAGCGAAGGGTGGTTCATGCATGTAGGGGTTAAAACTCGAGGGAGATATCCACTGTACCTCGATTTCAAAATAACATCGCCGCCGCCGTACGCATAGAAACCGGCTCGCCGATGGCGGGGGGGCTGGGCCCACGCTCCAGCGGGGGGATCAGGGGGGGGGGCCATTTGCGGCGAATCGTGCGGCCCCCGGCTCGGATTGCCGCTCGCTCGGAGGAATTGTTTTTGCGTAGAGGATTTTATAACGGATTTTCTATGATCCCGTCGCACAATGGCCGGGGCGTTCAACTGACAAGAGGACATTGGGGTGTTCCAAAGCAGGGGCCTCATTGTGATGGGGATGATCGTCTTCATCAGCTATGCTCAGATCACTCCATTGCCGGATGAAGGCCTCGCCAACCGCCGCCGCCGCTTCTCACGATCCTGCGGCGTAGTGAATCCTCCTAGCGCCCGACCACGAGCCGATTTCCCTCACGCCATCTCTCCGGTCGGCGTCCTCTCGGACGCGTTCCGTGCCTTTTTAGCCGCCGATTTGCTGTATTCCACCTCGACGGCGAGGGTCGGTCCTCCAGACGGGGCCCTCCCGCGTGACGTGCGTGGCGATTTGGTCAAACCCAGAAGGCGTCCCGGCCGTACCCCCAACCCTTGCTCCTTCACCCAACGCGACCTGCTGGTAGATCCAGAGCCGTGGTGTAGGAGCTGTCGGTCGTGTAAGTGAAGCAGGGAACGGAGTTTGTTAATTCGCACTGGGGTCACATGAACCCACTGATGGTGATTTTTTTACAGCCCCTGTCTTGATTCACTGCTGGATGAAGACCGCCCGACCGCAGTGTCCGTCACGGGTGTTGTTTGTCCGTTCTTCACCACTGCTGGTCACGGTGCGTGTTGGTGAGGGGAGCACTAATTGCCCAGAAACTGCTCATCCTCTTCACGCCCGTTATCAAAGCTTTACTGGAAGAATTTGCTGCTGCTGCTGCTGATAAACCCCCGCGAAAACAAGACGGGCAGAGACGCCGAGCTTCATCGTGCTCTGTCAATGACCTCCTAACATTTTTATCTTTTTTCTTTTGGAGTAGTAGTGGTGCTGTTGCTGGGCTTGTCTCTCCCGCACTGGAATCTGCGCTCTCACGGAAGAGCCCCAGTCGCCGTTAATGGACTTGACAGCTCTGCTGAAGAGGCATTTCATGTATCCGTGCGCAAATGTCACGTTCACCCACTCTAGTGGATTTTGGATCCCCTTTGTTTTAAACGACCCCATTCATCGAAGTCGCCGGAGGAGCGCGTACTACAACTTTTTTGTGTAAGAAAAATAATAATAACCTGGACGTTTTTTTATCTTTTATTTTCCAAACAACCACGGGCAACCCACGGGCATTGTTCCTGGCCTGGAGGGCCCCAGCCCCAACACGGCCTCGGCCTGGAGGATCCAGCTTCAATTGGCCTCCACATAAAAGTCTGCCTAGCCTGGGCCTCATGCGTCCTGACCTTTTATCCAAGACTCTCTCCTCGTGACCACGTGGAGGATGAAATCGCAGGTTGCCTTGCCTACAATCTCGTATTAACGTCATTTATATCGCGCCTTGGCGAAGGCGCGCTGCAGAGAATTCACAATGGTAAGTAGGAATGCCGTGTTGAAGATGAGGTGAATAGAATAGATGAGAGGAGGTGATTGGGCAAACCTGTGATGCGTGCATGAAGTAAAGGCAAAATGTACGAGAGCAAATAATGTTGACTAATGGATTGGATGGAACGGGAATGAGTGTGAGCCATGGAGAGGGATTGTGAAGAGCGAGCAGGAACGGTGGTAGTGGCTATAAGGGGGGGGGGTAGTGGAGTGAGCTATTGGGAAAAAAAAGTGAGTTTTGAGGGAGGAGC